TTTTAAAAAAAAAAAAAAAAAAAAAAAAAAAAAAACTGGGGAAAAATTATTTCTTTTATGTGATGTGTATTGAACAAGATGCATGCAAGTGTTGGAAGCCAGAAGAAGGCATTGGATCCCGTGGACCTTGAGTTTCAGGTGGTGTGAGCTGTCACGTGGGTTTCGGGGAACCAAACCCAGGTCCTCTGTAAGAACAGCAAGTGCTCTTAACCACTGAGACATCTCTCTAGCTCATTTCCCCCACCTTTTTTGAGACAGGCTCTCATGTAGCCGATGCTGGCCTCTAGCACGTTATGCAGCCCGAGCCATGACCACCTCCTCCTTCTATATACCAAGTATAGATTTCAGACATGCACCACTATGGCCGGCCTTACCCGAGTTTCCCAGGGAGATGTGGTCAGATCCTCAGGGGCTCTGACCCTGATCCCGCCACCGTGGACTGGCAGTTCTGACCTTTCCACCACCTGCTCCACAGGCTGCTCAGAGGAAGTTGCGCCAGGCCAGCACCAACGTGAAACACTGGAATGTCCAGATGAACAGGCTCATGCATCCGATTGAGCCAGGAGGTGAGCCTTCCCTGGCTTGGGATGGAGAAAGGAAGGCTTCCAGGTCTCCTGGACCACAAAGGTGGAACTGAAGATGACAGGTGTCCCCTCTCCCGGGCTGAGGCAAGACCCTCACTTCTCCCACTCCAACTCACTTCTTCCTACCCCTCTCTCTCTGCCAGACAAGCGACCAACCACCAGCAGCTCCTTCACCGGCTTCCAACCCTCTCCACTTGCCCGCCGGGACTCCTCTTTAAAACGCCTGACCCACTGGGGTTCCCAAGGCAGCAGAACCCTTGCAGCCAACAGCAGTGAACGGAAGTCTCTCAATGGTGGGGATGAGACTCCTATCCTGGCTTCTGCCTCTCAGGAAGATAAACTGGATCCAGCACCAGAAAATTAACCTCTGATGACCCCTTGTTCTTCTGACACTGTGTCTACTAGGACCTGGCTACAGCGGGCCTGTCGGCCACTCCAGCCACTGCATAAAGTCCTGGGGCTACAGGCCTAGGCCTGATGACCAGAAGCCTGTCCAATGTGGTTGTCATTGTCACCAGGCCCCGACCATAGAGGCTGTCTGGGGTATTACTACTGTGATCAGGGTTGGGAAAGAAACTGAACAATTAAGACAAAGGTCATCTGTCCCCAAAGGTCATCTGCCCTCTCCCCTGGAGACTACCACCAAGTCATGGAGGCATACTTCCAAATAAAACTGCTCACATCTGCCCACTGCTCCCTCCCTGCCTCCCTCCCTTTCTCCCTCTCACCCACTCTCCTTCCCATCTTCCCTCCCCCATCCCTCCTTCAAGTTCAAGGTCCCAGAGGCAGCAGGTATGGTGAGGTGGTTAGGAGTATGGACTGTGGGTTGATGGCTCTGCCACTGTCTAGTAGGTGAACTTCTCCCTTCATGCTGGTCAATGAAGATGGGCATAGTCCCCGATGGAGAGGGCCTGTAGGAGCAGGAACTCATACTGGGAATCATCATTAGTATTATCTGAAATGTTTATTGAGCAACTATAGTCTGCCTGGAGGCCGCCTGCATGACTTCATTCCCCTAGCAACTCTAAGAGCTGGATGACCATCATCCCAACGATAGAGATGCAGGCAGATCAGGTAGTTTGCCCGAAACCTTTGATCCCATATTCTCTCAACATGGGCCTTGTTCCCTCGGACAAGAGGCCTGAGGTTCTAGACGCCACAGAGTTAGCTTCCATCTTCACGCGCCCACCCCAAGCCTCCGGCTCACTAGGATTGCTTGCTCTCCTCTGTGCTCTTGTCCCTCTCTCTAGTATGCTCTAAGTCTAGGTTGCTGTCCTCCTTGCTCGTGTGTTGAATGCTTGTCCCCAGCTAGGGGCACTATTCTGGGAGACTGTGGAGCCTGTAGTGGGTGGGACCCAGCTGGGAAGTAGTTCACTATGAGGCCAGCTCTGGTTCCTCTATGCTGTCTGCTTCCCATGTGGCCAAGATGTAAACAACCAAGCCCATCACCCCTGCTGCGATGGAGTGAGCCCTCCCAAACCTAAGCAAAAAGAAATCTTCCTGCCCTCTGTTGCTTGTGTCAGGCACTGTCATGTGACACAGAAGTAACTAATCCGCCCTCCTTTCCCGTCCTCACAGCTTCAGAGTGTGAACCATTGACTCCTCCATTTGGCCCCATGTTTAATAAATCGCCAAGCCTAATCAACTGGATTCTTTGGGTCACTCCCAAATTCACCCCAGTGGTGCTCTGTCCAGTGGCCACTGCCTCATGCTGGTCTTGTCAGCTCCTAATTAAATATGAGCTTTGTTGAGACTCCCTTCCAATCCTGCTGCCTGGATGGGAATTCCAAAATGCAGGTGTGATCTGGGCTCTTCCTAGCCCCTCAGTGCTGTCTGAAAGGGTTTGTTGTTTGAGACAGGATCTCACTCCATAGCCCTGGATGGCCACATATCAGCTTGCTCCTGCCTGTGTCTTTCAAGTGCTGGGATTACAGGTAGGCAGGACCACACTTAGCTACATCCAAGATTAAAGTGTGTGTGTGTGTGTGTGTGTGTGTGTGTGTGTGTGTGTGTGTGTGTGTCTGTGTGTGTGGTGAATGTGTAAAGGTCAGAGGACAACTTTCAGGAGTCGGTTCTCTCCTAGAGCGTACTCCCAGGAATCACGTACCTTTACCCACTGAGCTGTCATCCTGGACTTGCATTGTGCGTTTTGACATGTCAAGTTCCCCACCCCTCTTCCTTGTGGGAAATGAGGGCCATGGCAGTCAACCAAGCAAGACCTACTGCAGTTTTGCCTCAGGGATCCAGCCTCAGCTTCCTGCTTCTTCTAGGCCTCACCACGGCTCCCATTTCTCCTCATTTCATGCCACGGCATTTGTAACAATGTTGAAGACCCTTGAAGGCAGGGACATATCTTCTTCAGGGCTGTCCCCAGTGCCTGGCACAGGGCTGGCTTCTGAGAAATCTGTGTAACAAACAGATATCAAATGGATGTGATGTACAACTGGGTGTGGCACAGTTAGGACGTGCTGAGACTGGAACTCAAGCCCATCCCCCAGCAAATTCGGTGAGTCGGGACGATGTGCCAGGTTTCACGTTTAGTGTGAGCTGTTATCTAAAAATGGTTCCTGCCCTCCTGGAGCTTGCTTGCTATCTGATCACAAAGTTCACAGCTTCTGCAAGTGAACCTGGTGCTCTTTCAAGGAAGTTTGTGACATCAGAAGTGTCACAGAACAGCTGCTAGCCTGAGAGGGCGCAGAGGTGAGGGCTAGGATTGGAAGTCCAAACTCCAAGTGGTGTGGGAATGACTGGAGCACAGAGGGGCTTGGGGTGGAACTGGGAGCTGAGATTGCCCTGGCTACTGTTTTGTTTCTGCAGTGCTGAGGGTGGAAGCCAGGGCCTTGAACATGTTCCCTCCGAACCGAATGCCGCTCAGGGGCTGCCTCTCCAGCGTGGCCCTCCCTCACTTTTCTTGTGTTTATTAATTTCTTTAAATATGTGTTCTCGCTGTATGCTGGGCTGTCCTCAGACTCATTCTGTAGCCAAGGCTGGCCTTGCACTCACAGTCTTCCTGACAGCTTTACACATACTGAAATGTCAGGTGTGTGGCGCCAAGTTGGCAAGCCCTTAGTGTCCTATGTCTCCTAATATGAAGGAGAGCAGGACAACACTCGGAATAAGTAGGTCTGAAGAAGCACTGAGAATTCATGGGTACAAGAAGTCTGGATTCTGAGCCCCACAAGGTGCTGTAATTCCAGTGCTGAAGGGCAGGAGGAGGCATGGAGGCAGGTGGGTCTAAAGTTTCCTCCCCCCAAAAAAGGGGTGTGGTGGAGAATACACAGATTAAGAAAAAAACAAAAAACTTTTTAGCCAATCTGATCTACATATTAAGTTTCCATCTCAACATACACACACACACACACACACACACACACACACACACACACACACACGATCCAGCTATGGGAGGGGGTAGGATTGATGGATTAATGTCCTAATTGGAGAAGAGAATCTATAGAGTGCAAAGAGCTGGAAGGAAATCAGTTTGTCAGTTCCCAAGTGCTGTCTAATGAAACTGTCTCCCTGTTTTCAATCTCACCTTCTTCCCTGCTTTCAAAAGGAAGGTTGGCCATGCCTCCACCCAGTCATTGTCTTTAAGAGTGGACTACCCAGGAGAATCAGGAGTTCAAAGTCCTGGAAGCTGTCCCCTGACCTCAAGTTCTTCATGGTACATGTACATTTGCACGTATACACACACACACACACACACACACACACACACACACATTTACACACACTAATGATAAATAAACTGGAAGAGACAAGAGGATCTAATACAGAGGAAGTTTGAGACCATCCTGGAATATGTGAAAACCCTGTTGGTCTCAAAACAATGAGACAACAAAACAAACAAAAAACAGAAAAATAGGGGAGAAAAAGGGGAAAAGATGATAAAAATCAAATAACTTGTGGGAAAGGTGGCACATGCCTTTAGTTCTAGTACGTGGGAGGCAGAGGCAGAGGCAGGCAGATGTCTGAGTTCCAGGGCAGCCTGGTCCACAGAGTGAATTTTAGGAAAGCCAGGAACATAGTCAGACACCCCACCACCACCACCACCACCACCACCACCACCACACACACACACACACACACACACACACACACACAGAGAGAGAGAGAGAGAGAGAGAGAGAGAGAGAGAGAGGGAGAGAGAGGGAGGAAGAGGAGGAGGAAAGAAAAGAAAGGTGAAGGAAGGCCTGATTAAGAGATTCTTGAAAACTAGACAGTTGATTGATTGAATTGATTGACTGGTAAATGAATCTTTTTTTTTATTTTTCTTTTTTGGTTTTTCGAGACAGGGTTTCTCTGTTGTAGCTTTGGAGTCTATCCTGGCACTCGCTCTGGAGACCAGGCTGGCCTCGAACTCACAGAGTTCGCCACCAATGCCCGGCTGAATATTATTATTATTGTTGTTATTATTATTATTATTATTATTATTATTATTGAGACAAGATTATAGCCCAGGCTTGTTAGGAACTTGAGATCTCAATCTGCCACAGCCTTCCCAGAGCTGGGATTACAGGCACGCACCAACCACCATGACTGGCAAATCATCAACCATATGTCAGATAAAGTTTGTTGTTTTGGGGTTGTTTGTTGAGCCAGGGTCTCATATATCCCAAACTGAATGGAACTCACTGTTCAAGGCTGCCCTTGAACTCCTGCTCCTTCTACCCCTACCTCCCAAGTGTTGGGTTGTAGGTGTGCATACGTGGCTAAGACGAGGCTATATTCTTGCATGCTGCAATCAAATGGGGCCTTCCTACTTTCCCTGCCCCCTATGCAGGATTTAGACTCAAGATTACCAGCTATCCCCTGTGCCTCAGTTTCCTCAGTGGTAAGTTCATCCTGGGGTCTCCAGTGTCCTGTGGCGAGGCATGGGGAAACGCTGACGGTTGAGGTACGATGTGGCAAGGGTGGTCGTACGATGTCTGAATGCACTCTGATTTTGAGCAGCATGGGAAGCTGTCATCTTGGGGAATGGAAGATATTTCCTAGGTTTTTAGTCCCAAGGTTAGAAAATAACTCCTGCTGGGTGGCAGCAGTGCTGCACACCTTTAATCCCAGCACTCAGGAGGCAGAGGCAGGCAGATCTCTGAGTTTGAGACCAGCCTGGTCTAGGATGAGTTCCAGGACTGCCAGGGTTACACAGAGAAACCCTGTCTTGAAAAAAAACAAAATAAATAAATAAATAAATAAATAGTTAAATAAAATATGTCCTCTAGCCTGTCCAACATCTTGAAAGGTCAGTGTGTCCTGTTTCAGATGTCTTCATACCCCCCAAACCCTGTAGTTCCCCCCTGGAAACATAGCCCAGGTTCTCTACCTCTGTGTGGCGTCTGTGTAAGGATGGGCAGGCACACGGGGCTGGAGTGCCACGGGTGTGTTAAACACTGTTGTCAGGGTCCACCCAGACCTGACAAGTGGCTGCTTTGAATTGCTGCTCATGCCCCTGCTGCAGAGAAGGGGGAAGAAAGGCAAGATCCCAGAGAGTCAGCGGGTGCCACCTGAAGGCTAAAGGCTGACACAGCCATGAGCAGGATGCTCACTGACAATTAAGCTACACAGACACTGGGCATCTCTGGCCAGGTTTGGGTAACAGAGATCCCTGGCTTGCTTCAAAGGGCCATAAAAACTTGCCAGGGATCTGCTTTTCTTATTCAGCTGCCCTAAAGGCAAATCTAGCCAACAGAAGATTTGGGGACACTGTTTCAGTCAGAGTTGTGATTCAAGTGACAGAAAGAGATTGAATTATTTATTTAACTATCTATGGAGGTGAACGAGTTCAGCACAGTATGTGTGTGGTGCTCAGAGGACAACCTGTGGGAATCGGTCCTGAGGAAGGGACATGTCATTAGGCTTGGCAACAGGCACCTTTACCCACCTTTATAGAATAAATAGAATAGAATACTTCATAAATAGATAGAATAAATAAATAGAATACTTAAGGACCCAGAAGCGGGTAGGTGAGATGGCTCAGTGTGTAAAATGCTTGCCGCCAAGCCTGACAATCTGATTTCAAGCCCTAGGGCCCACATGGTGGAAAGACTAACCCTGCAAGTTGTGCCCTGATCTTTGCATGTGTGCATGTGTTCACAAGTGTGCATACACACATACACACACGTGTGTGAGGAACTCACAAGTACACAGCACACGTGCCTGCTCATACACACAAACACGCATGCACAACCCCAAGTGCACACACATGTAGACACACAAACACACACAAAATAAATACAATGTAGCAAGAAGAACAGTAAGAACCACAAAGAAGGGGGTGGGTTTGGGTTTGGATCTGGGAGGAGTTAGGAGGAGGAGGTGAATAGGGTCAAAATACATAAAATGCACTAGTACAACATTCTCAAAACTAACTAGAATATTATATTGTAAAAATAATTCAAAAGAGGGCTGGAGACATTGCCCAGTCAGTAGAGAGCTTACTTAACATGGATGAAGTCCTGGCTTCCACACCCAGTGCCATACGCACTGGCATAGAGGATTATAGCACTTGAGAAGTGGAGGTACGAAGGTCATCAGGTCATCGTGTTCAAGACCAGCCTGACATCCTACATGAGAGCCTATCTAAACAAAATGGCAGAAACCTTAAGGAGGACTCTCACTTCCCAAATTTACTGCAGTCT